AGGCAAAGCCTCCAAGGATAGATGCATCAGATGGGAGTTGCTTGCAGGTTTTGGGAAACACTTTAAGTGAACATAAAGAAAGATGTGAGCTTGTAAGACTGGAAAAGGAAATTAATTTGTGTGCCAAGCATCCTCACATGGGCTTATAGACCGATGGTTTTGTGGGTATTGTAGTTTTTTCAGGTAGATTATCTATAGAATATTTGAGCATAAGATACTTTGAAGTATCAAGTTTTGGAGTTGTGTATGTCTTAAAATTATATATAAATGTATTTAGCTATTTATAATATATATTATATGTTGCTTATATAAATGAGTTTTCTAATTTTTGAAGAATTAGAATATCTTTGTGCAAATGTTCCTGGATTTTGCTTTCCTTTGTTTGAATCATATGTAGGTTATATTTCATTAAGTTGTAAACTTACAAGAAACGATCATTTCCACTTATGTCTTTTTTTTAATAAATATTTTAAGTCATAAAAATGGAATGACCACCAATTCCCCTATTTTGCATTTATTGAACACACACACCACGGCTTTAAAGAGCAAGAGAAGACAAATTATAGTACTCCTTCCGTTCCTTATTATAAGAGACATTTGATGCTTATGGTATGTTCCTATATATAAGAGACACTTACAAGTTGTCTCTACTTTTTTGTGTTGATTTACTATTTTACCCATATTTATTATCTCCAACTCACACTCTCTCTCCCTCCCATTTCTCTTTCTTTAATATTTAATTGTTCTCTCTCATGCTCTCTCTCCTTATTAATGAGGGCATTTTTGGAAAAAAATTTATACTTTTTACAATTAATTGTTCTTAACTAATTTTAACTGTTTTTTGATCAACGTATTTCGGTTATTGTCTCTTATAATAAGGAACGAAGGGAGTAATATATAGTGGATATGAATCATCATGCTTACATATTTACATTCTTTTATATTTTTATTAAATAATTATTTGATGCCTGCTCATTATTATTGGGTCCAATTTAAATATTATATAACTATATTTTTTTACGTAACACATTTTTTTATGAAATTTAAAAACGCTTAACCTTGTTTTAAAAAAACCATGCGTGACCATTCTATTCATTTTAACAATCATTAGTTGTTATGTTACTACTTCCGGTTTTTAACGTAAGAGTTTAATAACTAATTTTTAAATATTAAAAAAATTAGTTAAGTTACTTATATTTGTAATAAATGTGTTTTGATTTTCTTAAATTACCATATTCAATCATGTGTATTAAAATTATCTTTTAAATAAATCTATTTAATTTTTTACATAATTAACTTCCCTTTCAAATCTCTTTGCTTTTAAATTATCCAATATTGGATATTACTTTTGCATTGCTGTGCTGGAGAAGTTGGTTTCATCTCATGAGGTTTTATGAAAAATTTGAAGTTGAAAGAATCTATATTATCCCCAGTATAATTTTCATACAAATGTTGTGTCTAGTGGGGATTGGGGAAGCAAAGATAGGAGCTTGAAGGAAATAGAAGGTTCCATTTGAAAAAGAGGAAGTAGTTGGAATTTTGGGATCATCTACCTTTGAGGCCAAATTGTGAGCATTTACTGTAACTTGTGAAATTGTCAATAATTAACTCTTAAAATCATCCACGCACGCCATTCCATTTTGACTTTGTCAGCCACCCCAAACCAAGTCAAAATTTCATTAATATGTTTATGTCAATCCTTCTTCTTTTATGTATTTTTCTGTTCATGTTTTCTAAATTTTATTTTATTTTTTCTAAATTTAAAATTAACTTGGCCTTCATTTTCAAGCCAGGACAGATATTCAAAATGCTCACCTTTATTTTTATTTCTCAAATTCTTGGGTCTCATGCTTATCAACAACGTTGGAAATTGACTAGAAGTTTCTTTTGAAATAAAATAATTCGATTATATCGGAATGATCCATCCATCCCACAAGAAACTTTTATTTATTTATTTTTTAAATTGACGATAACATTTGACCATATACATGATTACATGACCTCATTCTGTTGAAGTTGAAAGATCTATTACTCATGCTTGGTGTGGAAAGTAATGATTATTAATCTTTTAAAAATTAGAAAAAAAAATTCATGATGCAATGGTTAAGTCGTGGCTCACGATTGTGTGGGTTAAATTTTCTTCAATGTATACGTAATATCTTAGATGGGATATTAAGATGGATATATAGTCCTATAATTAAAAAAAAATTGTAATAAATGTTCACTTCTTTTAAAAAGAAAGTACAATAGTTATAGGATAAGTTTATTATATTGTTATGGGAAAACCATATTGAAGGTATCTATACTTTCTCTCAATTTTTAATTTGGTACCTATGTGTTTTTTTCTCTTTAATTAAACATTTAATTTTATCTTTTTAGCAACATTAGCTCTTATAACTTTATTCTATTGATATTTTTAGTCTCTACATAAGGATTAATGATGTTAATAGAGGAAAAATAAAGATTTAGTTAAGAACAAAAAACACGTAGGTACCAAATTGAAAATTGAAAAAAAGTATAGGTACCTCCAATATAGTTTTCCCTATTGTTATCTCAAGTTCTTCAAATCACGTATACTTACCTGTGATTCAGAATTTGACATAATAAATATAAAAAATTTAATTTAATTTTTTTAAAAAAATAAAAATAATCATTGCGTGTATAAAGAAGGCTACTAAAGATATGTGGTGAGGAGGGTAAATTACACCAGATACAATATTTTTAATACTTAATAAATTTATTGAACAGAACTTTTGAGTAATAATTTATCCAAACATTTGACTGTGAATAAAGTATGAAGATGGCATGCTATATATATAAAATATTTCAAAATACTCTTTTGATCCTAAATATTATACTTATTTGTAATGTAATTTATACTATAAAATATGTCTTATATTTAGAGTCGGAAGGGTATTAATGTCTCCTATTACCTTTTCTTTTCTTTTTTAACGTACAAATAGTATTCCACAATTATGATGGACATGGGTGCTCCAAATTAGTTTTAAACAATTAAGAATTAAATCAGCTTAATTGTAACGAATCTTATAACCATCACACCTTTTAAAAAACAGCCTAAATCCTAATTTAAAAGCTCACATGCATATTAAAAAAAATTAAATATAGATTTCCAAACTAAATTGGTCATGGTCCAGACCCTAAAATGATCACTGTGGCTAGCGAGAATGAAGGGCCAACTAAAATATAAAATATTACTCCTCCGGTCCTTATTATAAGACCCAATTTGACTTTTTATTTGGTCCTAATTATAAGACCCAATCCATTTTGTCTCTTATATTTATGCATTTTTTTCCAAGATAATCCTTCTAATAATGATAGTTTTAGCCAATATACTTAATTAGCAAGGATATTTTAGGAATGACAACACTTATTTATTATAAATAACCAACTTAACTTACTTCCTTAATCTCCTCAAATAAGTCAATTGGGTCTTATAATTAGGACCGGAGGAGTATTATTAAGACCATAAAGCCACCTGGTCTGGTTGGTTTCCCTTGTCCTTCTTCTGGAGCTTGAACACTGGGGAACCCTCTAAATGCGAATTTATCACTCCATCCCCTATCCAAATCCAGATTAAAAGCTCTCCCTATTTCCATGTGCATCTTAAAACTTCAGCCCGTTTGGTTCAATTCTTGTATACTTAGAGACGATATTGCAATGCAGTGCAATATATATATATATCAATATGTTTGGCATGTTATTAAGAAAGTTAAGCAAAAAAAATTATTTTTTTATTTAATCAAAATGAAAAGCTTATAATACCCCTCAATAAATAAAAAAAAGAAAAAGAAATAAATCAGTCATTGCTAGATTTATTGTCTCTCTGGGAGAAGTGATAGTAACAGCAGAGAGAGGTGACAGCGGCAGTGGTGGTGGTTGTAGTAGTAGTGGTGGTGATGGTAATGAAAATGGTGGTGGTTACTAAGGGCCGTGATGGCGGTGATTTTGACAGCAACCATAATGGGGGAGGTGATGGTAACTGTGGTTTTTGATGGTTATGTTAGTGGCGGCAACAACGGTGGCAATGATGATGATAGTGGTTGTGGTAAATACTGTAGGGGGGACGGTGGTTGTGGTGATGGCAGTGGCAATTGTGGTGGTGGCAGTGGGAATGGTTATGGGTGGTGGGGGATGGTTGTAGTAGTGGCGGTGACGGTTAAAATAAGACAATAAAAACAAAAACAAGCGAGACTAAACAGCAAAGTAGACTTTTTAAAACATGCAATGGGTGGTAATGAGTATTCATAAGATGGGAAGTATGAATAGGGATTACCAATTTTTTTGGTAATCATCATTAACATGGTAAAACCAATTATTATACTAAATAGCAACCAAACACCCCCTTCTTAGTAATGCAATTATGATTACCATCACAGGTATGTAATGGGATTGAACCAAACATGTTTTACATCTTTTTCTCATCCCCACATAGATGAGTCTGCAAAATGAACATAAATTAAGAAAAAAAAGATAATGTCTATTTTCTTTCCCCCGCCCAAAAAAATAATTTATAAGTCCTTATAGTTTCTCATATATACTCCTTTGGTTCTAAATATAAGACCCTTATACTAATGTGTATAAGGGTCTTATATTTAGGACCGGAAGAGTATTTATTAGATTATCATAAGGACTTGATTAAAAATTATATAAGACTAAGAATTTAATAAAAATATTCTACAGAGATGTAATTAAAAATGAGACTAAACTATAAATATTTGTTCTCTCTCCCAGTCTTCTCTCAATTTTGTTCTCTCTCTCTTTTTCTAAATTGGGCCAAAAAATGGATATCGGCTTAGGCTGACCCACAAAATTGGGCCGACAAACTAACGCGCGTGAAGATGAAGTGCTCCTTTCTCGTGTTTCAGTGTTTCTTCTCAAAGCCGCTCCTCCTTGTACCCAAAAAAAAAAAAGCCCTCCTCCTCGCATCTTCCTCCTCCTTCGCCTGCGGGAAATCAAATCTAAGGACTTTTTTTTTTTTTTTTGGCCACCGAAATCTCATCAAGGGTCTGAGGATCTGAGGACTATGGAAGTGAAAAATCTCATCAAGGATAAGAAATTCTGGTTTGCGTCCTTCCTTATCGTCTGGGCTGCTGCTCTCCAGGTTTGAATTGGCTTGTCTTCTCACTTCTTCGCACTAAAATTGCTCGACCCTTCATCTCTTAATGTGCGTTCTCTTGTTAGGGCCATATGATGTGGATGCAGAAGCAGGACTCCTTCAAGCAGAAATTTGGGAACCTTGATCAAGACAAGGATGCCCAAAACTGATGGGTAAGAGTCACCCTGCGCAAACCAAAACTCGAAAGGATTTAATTTATTAATTTTTTTTGGGAGAAAGTTCTTCTCTGGAAGTGACTCGAACTCCTGCTTTCCGAGTCATAAATTACTTTTAAGTAGTGCAGTTGAAATGCTGGATTATGTGGAGTCTGTACTGTTTATATGATTGACAAGTGTGAAGTACTGAATTTGATCTTTGAAAGATTCGGCTTATTTGTTCGTGTGAAGGACTTCAGGAACGTCTAGGGCACTCCCAATGTCGTTGTTGTACTATCTTTTTCTTATGGGGCTCGGCCAATCTGAAATTTCTTAATGCTGCTTGGCTATTCAATATGGGAAGAAGGATTAGTACAACTAACGGGGAGTCATAGTTTACCCTTTTTGGGTTATCTGAAAATTATAAATTTGGACGGAATGATCATTGTAAAATCTTCTTGTTAATTTAAATCTAATTCTCCTGGTCTCCTGAAGGTTAATGGTTCTTTAGTTTCATTTCATCATCATCATCCACCTTCACAGTTTGAAAATTGAAGTAAACGTCACATTTTGTTCCCTTCTAGACAGGTAAGTCTCCTTCAGCTCTTATTTTTTCTCAATCGGAGCTATCATATGAATACTTGAATTGAAAATCTTAAAAGAGGTATTATCTGTTCCATTTCCCATGTGCTCGACGTCACAAAAAACCTGTATGGATGCGCAAAGGAGAATGTCAAATGCCTTATTCTGGAATGGAAGATAAATATGCTGTCTTGTGAGAAGCTTTTAGTTGTACACGATTTTCATTTGTTTCTACAGTACGTACCTAGATATATTCTGTCTCAATGTGCTTAGCGTACCCATGATATTGTACTTGAGCAAACTTTGATGAGCACTGGGTCCTCTTATGTATAAAAGAACTTAGTTCTGTAGCACCTTCTGTGTCTGTGATAAAAGAGGTTCACTGTGGGGGAGATAGCTCAGTTGGGAATACATTCTTGCTGGAATGGATCTTAAAGTTGAGGAGCTCTTTTCGAACAGAATCAAAATGTGAAAGTTTCTGAGTCTAGCAGCAGAAGGTATTAGTTTTCCATAACATGGCAAGCAAAAGTTATAGGCTAGGCATATATATCCTTCTTTCTCTCTTTTCAAAATTGGAAAACAATTGTTAAATATTAGAAGTGACTTATACTTTTCTGGTTTTATTTATAAGGCACTTTTATCATATTTCACACAGACTAAAAAAAACTTTAAAATGCATTAACTTTTCATTAAAATATGATAATTTTTTAATTTTACCCATATTTAATATATACACATTTTAAAATAGATAACTATATACACTATAATAAATTAAGAACAAAATAATACTCCTCCGGTTCTTAATATAAGATCCATTTAACTAATTTGATTAGATTAAGGAAGTTAGGTAAGTTAGTTAATTATAAGAAAATGATACATTTTTCTTAAAACATCATAATCATCTTTTTTAATACTCCATCTCCCTCTTCTACTTGATTATGGTTGATGGAGTATCCATAAGGGTAATTTAGAAAAAATTAATAAATATAATAAATGGGTATTATATTTAAGACCAAAACCAACTCAAGAATTGGGTCATATATTAAGGACCAGAGGAGTATATTTATGCTAAAAATTTAATAAAGTGACTTATAAATAGGACTTAAAAAAATCTTCTCTCTTTGTCTTATAAATAGAACTAGCAGAATATTTAAGGTCAAATTTTTTTTTCCTTGCGAGAAACCTGCATTTGGGACCAGAGTGGTATGTTTTTCAAAACAGAAATTTCACCCACCGAAGAATTTAACTGCGAAAGGTGATGTGAAATATAGTTGAATTTTGGTTTCATACGAATGAGAATGAGTTCAATGACACCCAAACCACACATTTAAGGCTCCTTAATTTGGAAGCCGTATGTTAGGGGAGGTGGGTCATTTAAAACGTGAGGGGCAATTCGGCAAATGATCCTTTGATTCATGCATCTTAATTCTCAAGTCCCTAGTCAATGCTAAAGCTGGATTGGCACCGCCGTTGTTAACTAATGGCTCGTGGCTCTATTGCTAGTTGCTTGCTTTAAGCTTTCAAATCTTTCTTGACTTTTCCATTCATTTTGGAAGCAAACAAAAAGTTTGATTTTGAAGAGAAACTTATGGATTCCTTGCACAACACTTGTATTATGTTTTTTTATTTTTTAAAAGAAATAGTAGTCTACAGAACAATAAAGTATAGATAAAATTATATATATATTTATATATAAATTTAACAAGATGACTTATATTAAGAACAAAAAATTATTGTCTCTACTCTAAAAATAAGACTAGAGGAGTATATATATTTGGGAGAATAACAACAACAAAAAAAAGAAGCTACAAATTACTAAATTTCAGATCAGATTTAGTAACAATATTTTATTGGAAGAATTACAATCAAGTTCTTCAAAAGAGAAATAATTACTAAAAAGTTCCAATAACAACCTAAGCATCCTGTAATGACAAATCTTATAGTAGAGAATGACAATCTCTGTGACTTGTTTTATAATTTTTTTCCTTCTATGGGACTTGGTTGTAATTCTCTCTAATTTATTTAGTGTTGATAACGCTGAATTTGTAAATGACGAGAAATTTTGTTGATATTTCTTATCTGGCGTTTACAAACTTTCAACTTCATTATTTGTCATTTTTTCTACGTATTTTTTAGCTTAGGGTTGATTGGATATATCTGGAATTAGCTTGATAGAATTATTATGAATTTATTATTATCAAGTATGATGATGACGACCACGACGACGCAGATAAGGCAAAGAGGAGGGGGAGGCGAACGTGGCGTCATCCTAACGTGCTGGTTTACGTGCGTGGTGCCATGGATGCATGTTGCGCGCTCCCATTCACAATGTACATTTGACTTTCCCATTTCTACTTTTCATCTTCTTTCTCCCACTCAGTTGCTACCCGGAGGTTTTTCTCTGACCTCATTATTTGTGCTTTTAAAAAAAAGAAGAGAAAAGAAAAACCACCCCACAGTCAGGCTGATAATACTTGAATGAAACTGAAAATTATGGGGTAGGTAATATATAAATAAAATAAAGAAGGTGTCATTGGCTAATTATAGTGATTATACAATTTTCAAAGATTAGGTGGGAAAGAATTGAAGGCATTAGACTTGACTTTTGCTACGACTTTAAAAAAAAAAAAAACTGATGAAGCACCGATTTAGTTTCTACTAACATTTTAACAGGAAGAATTATAA